TGTAAATACCCTAAAATGTAGATACCATACATATTTAGCAATAAGCAGGTGACCTTATAGAATTAGGTATAGTGATGTCAAGTTGATGGTCTTGTGTATACAGGTGTCCAGATTATACAGGTGACCTTATAGAATTAGGTATAGTGATGTCAAGTTGATGGTCTTGTGTGTACAGGTGTCCAGATTACACAAGTGACCTTATAGAATTAGGTATAGTGATGTCAAGTTGATGGTCTTGTGTATACAGGTGTCCAGATTACACAGGTGACCTTATAGAATTAGGTATAGTGATGTCAAGTTGATGGTCTTGTGTATACAGGTGTCCAGATTATACAGGTGACCTTATAGAATTAGGTATAGTGATGTCAAGTTGATGGTCTTGTGTATACAGGTGTCCAGATTACGCAGGTGACCTTATAGAATTAGGTATAGTGGTACCTAGCTGATGGTCTTGTGTATACAGGTGTCCAGATTACACAGGTGACCTTATAGAATTAGGTATAGTGGTACCTAGCTGATGGTCTTGTGTATACAGGTGTCCAGATTACACAGGTGACCTTATAGAATTAGGTATAGTGGTACCTAGCTGATGGTCTTGTTTATACTGGTGTCCAGATTATACAGGTGACCTTATAGAATTAGGTATAGTGGTACCTAGCTGATGGTCTTGTGTATACAGGTGTCCAGATTACACAGGTGACCTTATAGAATTAGGTATAGTGGTACCTAGCTGATGGTCTTGTGTATACAGGTGTCCAGATTACACAGGTGACCTTGTAGAACTTTGTATAGTGGTACCTAGCTGATGGTCTTGTGTATACAGGTGTCCAGATTACACAGGTGACCTTGTAGAACTTTGTATAGTGGTACCTAGCTGATGGTCTTGTGTATACAGGTGTCCAGATTATACAGGTGAACTTATAGAATTAGGTATGGTGATGTCAAGTTGATGGTCTTGTTAATACAGGTGTCCAAATTACACAGGTGACCTTGTAGAACTTTGTATAGTGGTACCTAGCTGATGGTCTTGTGTTTACAGGTGTCCAGATTATACAGGTGACCTTGTAGAACTATGTATAGTGGTACCTGATGGTCATGTTTATACAGGTGTTCAAATTACTTTATGTGTTTATTTATAAAATGTGATTGATCCAGGTAAAAAAAGTCCTGAAATTGATTTCCTATTATAGTTGGGGCTCCATTTCTTCTCACATGGGATTATTATAATAAGATATATTTACTCTAATTGCAGATTTCAAGTTCAAACTTTATTCAGTTTAAAAAGTAGACATTCTAGCTGTAACTGGTGTTTTTGATTCCTTTTAGAAAACATTTCAGATTTACAGATAGAGTTCCTGTCCATATAAAAGTGAGAAGTATTTTTAGAGAAAATTGCACTTATAAATGACATTACTGGAACATATTGAAGTTGGTGTAGATTGATTATGATACAATGAAAACCTTTTAAGTTGATCCTGGTCTGAGATATTGAGTACTGATTGCTTAATAACTCAGTTTTCATAAGAAACATTAATTTAGTTTGATGGAATTCAGTCATTTATACTTTCAGTTTTATTTTTGATTGATGAGAGAGATGATATCAGCTTTTAAATAAAGATAAACCGAATAAAAAGTTTTCCTGTAAATGATACCACTTACTCAAGTCTCACAGTTTTATTTTTAAGAATAAAAAATGGAATGAGAGAGATGATATCAGCTTTTAAATAAAGATAAACCGAATAAAAAGTTTTCCTGTAAATGATACCACTGACTCAAATCAGGGAGATGGGCTTATTTCAGAACACTTTTACAGAATTTGTTTGTAATCCTTCTGAAACATCAACAGATGTGGCTGGGCTTATGACAGGACAACAATACAGGATTTGTTATTAATCCTTCTAAAATATCAACAGATGTGGGTGGGCTTATTACCAGACATGGGTTTATTAGCGGATATATACGGTAAGTAAGAAGTGTGTAAAGAATACAAGAGTTTTAGTGAAGTGAAGTACCTGTCTTGATGGATAATGGATAGCTTTAGGGTACAATTCTGTATTAATTATATTAGAGGAGATGATTAGGTCTAAGTGCATTTGCTGTTTTTGACTAATTATACGCAGTTCATGTGGTACACTTGACTCTTCAGGAACATGTATGTGACATAGTTTTATACTTTCGGTGTCTTCTGCAGCCATTATGCATTGTATTTCCATTCCATCTGTTTTCTGTCTGAAACAATGCTGGTTACTTTGGTCTCACAGTGAGTAACTGGTAGATCTTTCTAAAATTTTTAAATTTAATTTACCACGTATTGCGTTATTTCATGGATGATTTTCATGATCACATTAATGTACCGCGAAAAAAAAGAAAATATCATCCCCTGAAAATAACCGTTTGTTCTGTACATTGGGCATCATAGGTTCATCGCACCACTTTGCATTTCAAATTCAAATCTCATCATGTGAATTCCTCTTGGTACCTATTTGTGCATAGTTTATTTAATATGAATTTGGAGAACATTAGATGAACAGTTTGTCATTTCTACTTCTCAGAAAAAACTGGATGGACCTTAAAAAAATTCATATGTCACTCCGATCCACTTAATTGAAGCAGTGCGTGTTTGAATTTGAAATGGATTTGAAAAAAACAAGATCCAAAATGATTTGGAGATATACCTGTTTTGAATTCAGATGAGCACACTGTATTGAGGTAACAGGTACCTCTACTTTTCCCATTCTGCTTGGCTTAAAACAGAGAAAACAACTGGTACCTTTTTGCAGCAAGTGACAAAAAAAGTTGTTTTTTTTCTCTGTCAGTTTCCTGAGTTTACCTGGAGAAAGTACAGTTTATATTGCCAGCACTGTATATAAATCAAGAATAAATCTTGTACCCATACTTAAAGGTAGCTCCTGGACGTTATACACAAAGATACATAGAAAATTATTTATCTGCTTAACCCATTCTTATACCAGCCTCCCATTCTCCAATTTCCTAACAATTCCTGTAATCATCAGCCTGACTAGCGTTACCTCTGACAGATAGCCGTGACCATAACATACAGCCCAGAGAATACTGATAACCAGTCTGTTTCTCCACATCTTCAAACAGATTTTATATTCACAAGTTCAAAATAAAGAACGTTGAGGTTTTGTGCACACATATGGTTTCTTTTTCTTGTGCGGGTTTTCCAGAAAAAAAAAGTTTTCTGCTTTTTTACTTGAAAATAAATCTGAATACATAAAAATGACTGGCACCACGATGTAACATCATCGTTATGTCAGATAGAGATTGGTTAGCTTACTGGAGATAGAATGTGGGAGATAGAATGTGGGAGATAGAATGTATGTATTCAGTCGTAACACACTGAGAGGGCGTTGATAATGTTGAAATAACTTGTGCCCAATCCGTTGTTGTCAAATTTTGGCAAATAAAATATGTTTTAAACTAAACTGTAACACATTTCAGGTTTATTACACACTTAAACTATGTAAGATGATTAGGTATGTAAGACATCTTTACATATTAGACACTTTGGATATATATAAGATAGTTGAGTTATTATAGAGACTGCAGAGATAAAGGATGTTTAAATATGTAAGACATTTCAGATATGTAAGACATCTTTACATATTAGACACTTTGGATATATATAAGATAGTTGAGTTATTATAGAGACTGCAGAGATAAAGGATGTTTAAATATGTAAGACACCTTGGATATGTAAGACATTTTAGATATATAAGACACCTTGGATATGTAAGACATTTCAGATATATAAGACACCTGGGATATGTAAGACATTTTAGATATATAAGACACCTTGGATATGTAAGACATTTTAGATATATTAAGACATCTTGGATATGTAAGACATTTCAGACATATTAAGACATCTTGGATATGTAAGACATTTCAGATATATAAGACACTTAGGATATGTAAGACATTTCAGATATATAAGACACTTAGGATATGTAAGACATTTCAGATATATAAGACACTTAGGATATGTAAGACATTTCAGACATATTAAGACATTTTGGATATGTAAGACATTTCAGACATATTAAGACATCTTGGATATGTAAGACATTTAGCTTTGTAAGACACTTAGGATATGTAAGACATTTCAGACATATTCAGACACCTGGGATATCAAAGACATTTTAGATATAATAAGACACCTTGGATATGTAAGACATTTTAGATATATAAGACACCTTGGATATGTAAGACATTTTAGATATATAAGACATCTTGGATATGTAAGACATTTCAGATTTATTAAGATATCTTGGATATGTAAGACATTTTAGATATAATAAGACATCTTGGATATGTAAGATATTTTAGATACATAAGACACTGCGGGTAATTAAGTACAGCAAGATATTTTGGGTTGTATACAATTAACGATAAAGTTGTGTCAGTCATCAGTAGAGACACTGGCAGCAGTTATTCAACCTTTTGTAAGCTTCCCAAACTTTGAGTCAAAAAAAGAAGTTGTGCCTGAATGTGATTACACATATAAACATCTACATCATCTTTGTTTTTTCTACAAACATAAATATGATTCCAGAGGTTTTCTGTTGTTGGTTACTCCGGCCATGTACTGTCTCTGAACTGTATAGCATATGTCTTTCAAAGCAGAAGATTTTACAGCGACCGTCTGCTCTTTGATAGTGAGAGTGCTCCATTCATCACTGGTCTGTAGAACTACCAAAGTTTTTTGTATGGAATTCCTTCATCTTATCAACTACTCATGAAAATAGCTCCGTCTCAGCTTTTATACTTGAATCTTCATTACTTGGGCAGTATTCAACATACATGTGGATGTTTTAAAATTCCAGTGTCAGTTTTTCACTTTTCTACAATTTTGGTCTCTGATTAGAGCACAGAGGTGTTGAAGTCGGTTTCGTTGCTCAACTTTTCATGTACGACTACTTCATGGTTAAAATTTTCGTCTGTGAATATTTCATCTATTTAGAATGCTTATATGAATGGAGGAACGTTTAAATTCATCTGAGTTTGAAAAACTGCAGCAACTTCGAAATTTTTACCCATGGATATCTGGTAAAAATGTTTTTATTCATTTAGATATCAACAGCAATGAAAGCATTTTGATACAAGACAAGATCTCACTTTCATATGCTTTGTCATGTAATAATGAGTATGCTTTACATTTAGTTTCAATTCTGCATAATATTTGTATGTTTAGTTCTGAGGAATTTTGGAAAATATTTCAATTCTTTATAATTCACTTCATCTTGTTTATGTTTGTTTTAATATCTTTTTTATTTGTTACAGAATTATTGCCAGGAATTGAGGATTTCCTGTGCAGGGTTTTAGCTGGTGAGGGGCTGTCAGGGCCTGCCGAGGAGCAGCGCCTCTACTTCATAGAACGCCTCGACATTCTCAAGCTACCCCCCTCTCTACCTCCACGACACTCAGGTAAATATAGACCCCCTTCTCTTGATTCTACTATACTTCCCTATCTCACACATAAATATGCCACTGTATCTACCTTGCTGACACTAAAATAAATATGCACCTTTCGACCCTCCCAGCACTCAGGTAAGTAAACCCCCTCTCAACCTACCTGATACTCTGTAAATATACACCTGTCTCTAACTCCCTGACACTCTGTAAATATACACCTGTCTCTACCTACCTGGCACTCTGTAAAGGTAAATATACACCTGTCTCTACCTCCCTGACACTCTGATAAATATACACCTGTCTCTACTTACCTGACACTCTGTAAATATACACCTGTCTCTACCTCCCTGACACTCTGTAAATATACACCTGTCTCTACCTACCTGACACTCTGATGAATATACACCAGTCTGTACCTACCTGACACTCTGTAAATATACACCTGTCTCTAACTCCCTGACACTCTGTAAATATACACCTGTTTCTACCTCCCTGACACTCTGTAAATATACACCTGTCTCTACCTACCTGACACTCTGATGAATATACACCTGTCTCTACCTTCCTGACACTCTGATAAATATACACCTGTCTCTACCTCCCTGACACTCAGGTAAATATACACCTGTCTCTAACTCCCTGACACTCAGGTAAATATACACCTGTCTCTAACTCCCTGACACTCTGTAAATATACACCTGTCTCTACCTTCCTGACACTCTGTAAAGGTAAATATACACCTGTCTCTACCTACCTGACACTCAGGTAAATATACACCTGTCTCTAACTCCCTGACACTCAGGTAAATATACACTTGTCTCTAACTCCCTGACACTCTGTAAATATACACCTGTCTCTACCTCCCTGACACTCTGTAAATATACACCTGTCTCTAACTCCCTGACACTCAGGTAAATATACACCTGTCTCTAACTCCCTGACACTCTGTAAATATACACCTGTCTCTACCTCCCTGACACTCAGGTAAATATACACCTGTCTCTAACTCCCTGACACTCTGTAAATATACACCTGTCTCTAACTCCCTGACACTCAGGTAAATATACACCTGTCTCTACCTACCTGACACTCTGTAAATATACACCTGTCTCTACCTACCTGACACGCTGATAAATATACACCTGTCTCTACCTCCCTTACACTCTGTAAAGGTAAATATACACCTGTCTCTACTTACCTGACACTCAGGTAAATATACACCTGTCTCTACCTCCCTGACACTCAGGTAAATATACACCTGTCTCTACCTCCCTGACACTCAGGTAAATATACACCTGTCTCTACCTCCCTGACACTCTGATAGATATACACCTGTCTCTACCTACCTGACACTCTGATAAATATACACCTGTCTCTACCTCCCTGACACTCTGATAAATATACACGTGTCTCTACCTTCCTGACACTCTGTAAAGGTAAATATACACATGTCTCTACCTCCCTGACACTCTGATAAATATACACCTGTCTCTACCTCCCTGACACTCTGATAAATATACACGTGTCTCTACCTTCCTGACACTCTGTAAAGGTAAATATACACATGTCTCTACCTCCCTGACACTCTGATAAATATACACGTGTCTCTACCTCCCTGACACTCTGATAAATATACACGTGTCTCTACCTTCCTGACACTCTGTAAAGGTAAATATACACCTGTCTCTACCTCCCTGACACTCTGATAAATATACACGTGTCTCTACCTTCCTGACACTCTGATAAATATACACGTGTCTCTACCTTCCTGACACTCTGTAAAGGTAAACATACACCTGTCTCTACCTCCCTGACACTCTGATAAATATACATGTGTCTCTACCTTCCTGACACTCTGTAAAGGTAAATATACACATGTCTCTACCTACCTGACACTCAGGTAAATATATACCTGTCTCTACCTCACTGACACTCAGGTAAATATACACCTGTCTCTACCTCACTGACACTCTGTAAAGGTAAATATACACCTGTCTCTCCCTCCCTGACACTTGGGTAAATATACCCCTCTCTTTATGTACCTGACTCTCAGGTAAATGCATTTCCTTTCTTATAACAATACCTCAGAGAAGTTCATATTCCACGGCTCAAAAGGTCAAGGTTGCTGTTACTATTTATAGAATATTAACCTGTATATATATTGGAGGGGAGACATCCTTACAGACATTGTCTAGTTACCTAAACATTGTGCATGGTACACATCAGGTAGGTTCATTATAACAGAGTATGCACCAGGTGAACCAAGCAATGACAGGTAAACACATGCAGACCATGATGTCATCATGTCTGTGCCAGGTCAAGTAATGAGCAACTGATTAAGTTTAGCTCTGGAATGTAGTGAGCGTGTCTTGAGAACAGGTTCCAGGTCAAGAGCCTTTTATAGAGCAAGGGTGTACTAGATAGTCCCAGGATAGTGTCTAGGGTATAGACAGTCCAAGGATAGTGTCTAGGGTATAGACAGTTCCAGGATAGTGTCTAGGGTAAAGACAGTCCCTGGATAGTGTCTAGGATATAGACAGTCCCAGGATAGTGTCTAGGGTATAGACAGTCCCAGGATAGTGTCTAGGGTATAGACAGTCCCAGGATAGTGTCTAGGATATAGACAGTCCCAGGATAGTGTCTAGGGTATAGACAGTACCAGGATAGTGTGTAGGGTATAGACAGTCCTTGGATAGTGTCTAGGGTATAGACAGTCCCAGGATAGTGTCTAGGGTATAGACAGTCCCAGGATAGTGTCTAGGATATAGACAGTCCCAGGGTAGTGTCTAGGATATAGACAGTCCCAGGATAGTGTCTAGGGTATAGACAGTCCCAGGATAGTGTCTAGGGTATAGACAGTCCCAGGATAGTGTCTAGGATATAGACAGTCCCAGGATAGTGTCTAGGATATAGACAGTCCCAGGGTAGTGTCTAGGATATAGACAGTCCCAGGATAGTGTCTAGAATATAGACAGTCCCTGGATAGTGTCTAGGATGTAGACAGTCCCAGGGTAGTGTCTAGGATATAGACAGTCCCAGGGTAGTGTCTAGGGTATAGACAGTCCCAGGGTAGTGTCTAGGGTATAGACAGTCCCAGGATAGTGTCTAGGGTATAGACAGTCCCAGGATAGTGTCTAGGGTATAGACAGTCCCAGGATAGTGTCTAGGGTATAGACAGTCCCAGGATAGTGTCTAGGGTATAGACAGTCCCAGGATAGTGTCTAGGGTATAGACAGTCCCAGGATAGTGTCTAGTGTATAGACAGTCCCAGGATAGTGTCTAGGGTATAGACAGTCCCAGGATAGTGTCTAGGGTATAGACAGTCCCAGGATAGTGTCTAGGGTATAGACAGTCCCAGGATAGTGTCTAGGGTATAGACAGTCCCAGGATAGTGTCTAGGATATAGACAGTCCCAGGGTAGTGTCTAGGGTATAGACAGTCCCAGGGTAGTGTCTAGGATATAGACAGTCCTAGGATAGTGTCTAGGGTATAGACAGTCCCAGGATAGTGTCTAGGGTATAGACAGTCCCAGGATAGTGTCTAGGATATAGACAGTCCCAGGGTAGTGTCTAGGGTATAGACAGTCCCAGGGTAGTGTCTAGGATATAGACAGTCCTAGGATAGTGTCTAGGGTATAGACAGTCCCAGGGTAGTGTCTAGGATATAGACAGTCCCAGGGTAGTGTCTAGGGTATAGACAGTCCCAGGATAGTGTCTAGGATATAGACAGTCCCAGGGTAGTGTCTAGGGTATAAACAGTCCCAGGGTAGTGTCTAGGGTATAGACAGTCCCAGGATAGTGTCTAGGGTATAGACAGTCCCAGGGTAGTGTCTAGGATATAGACAGTCCCAGGGTAGTGTCTAGGGTATAGACAGTCCCAGGTAGTGTCTAGGGTATAGACAGTCCCTGGATAGTGCCTAGGATATAGACAGTCCCAGGATAGTGTCTAGGGTATAGACAGTCCCAGGATAGTGTCTAGGGTATAGACAGTCCCAGGATAGTGTCTAGGGTATAGACAGTCCCAGGGTAGTGTCTAGGGTATAGACAGTCCCAGGGTAGTGTCTAGGATATAGACAGTCCCTCCAGTGTCAATTAGAGTTGTTTATGATATGACATATTTATCAGGCTATTATCTTGTGCCAGCTTTTAAGCCCACCATGTCTTTTGCCAGCTCTGCAGAAATACAAGCAACATCTGTTCCATTGCCCTGTAATAAGCCCGCCCTGATTTTTAGTCCGATATTGTATGAGAGAAATACTTGCACTATAGATATTACAGACAATACTTTTATACCTGTAAATAACACCTGTTACCTTGTCTTACCTGTAATTTATGCAGGTAGGTGATCTGTCTACTCAGTATTGTTAAGGTAAGCAGTATTAGTGTTACTATGTACATATTGACCAAAACACCTGCATAAAGAAACAAATGATACAATCAAAATTCCAAACTTTTAAAAAAAAATTAGTTTTAACATCAAAAAAATTTTTATTTTTTTTACTAAATCAATGTTTTATTTCAAAATCACACAATTTTGATGACCAATACAAATGAAGGGTTGTCTGTCCGCCTGTCTTGTATTTTATATCAGGTTTTTTTTTTTTTGGGAGGGGGGGAAGGAAAATAATTGTAGCTTGTGGCTGATATTTATAGAGTTTTTCCCCCAATATTGACACATAGGTATTGCTTCAACAAAGACTATTATAATTCAAACAGGTTTTGTCTGATGAAGGTGACAGTGTTAAGTCATTGAAACGTCACACATCTTACAGGTTGTGATATAAGAGCTGCTGTTATATCTAACAGCTTGTGCTCTATGCTAAGCTCGGGTTGGAGACATCACTGGGGATGGAAGTTGATATTCAAGTTTCTAGTTTCTAACAAAGAAGAACGGTCTGCATTAAATCTAAAACATTTGACACTGAACATTATCATTGAACACATGCTACCTTACAGAGAGATTAAGATCAAATTTTCATCAGGTTTTTAAATAGAATAATTTTCATCAGGTTTTAAATTAGGATAATAACGGTACTGAGAAACAGGTTTATGGCTTCACTTTAGAAGTGAAAGATTACAAATAGTTATCACTAGGTCTGGGTTATATTATAAAATTTTAACATGTTTAGGGTAGAAAAGATATATATATGTTATATAATAAACTGTATGTGAGTCATCCTACATTTCTATTTACAAAAGGTTAACAACAATGGCAGTTAAGTATATATATGCCTTTATTTATATACAACAGAAGGTGTAGTAGAGAACTGGAGTGAGACACTTATCTGTGACATGTTGGGTCTGTGTCTTGTCTTAAGTGTCACTGTGTCACTACATGATGTGCTAGCACAACCTCTACTGTAGACCACACCCTAAAGATTCAGGACTATTTTTTACAATTCATCGTGAAAAAGAAAATTAATCTAACAAGTAAAAGATGAAAGAAAACTTTTTTAGCTCACTGAAGGGCCAAGTGAGCTTATTCCAAGGTGCACCATCTGTCTGTCACTTGAACTGAAGGGCCAAGTGAGCTTATTCCAAGGTGCACCATCTGTCTGTCACTTGACCTGAAGGGCCAAGTGAGCTTATTCCAAGGTGACCATCTGTCCGTCACTTGAACTGAAGGGCCAAGTGAGCTTATTCCAAGGTGCACCATCTGTCCGTCACTTGAACTGAAGGGCCAAGTGAGCTTATTCCAAGGTGACCATCTGTCCGTCACTTGAACTGAAGGGCCAAGTGAGCTTATTCCAAGGTGCACCATCTGTCCGTCACTTGAACTGAAGGGCCAAGTGAGCTTATTCCAAGGTGCACCATCTGTCCTTCACTTGAACTGAAGGGCCAAGTGAGCTTATTCCAAGGTGCACCATCTGTCCGTCACTTGAACTGAAGGGCCAAGTGAGCTTATTCCAAGGTGCACCATCTGTCTGTCACTTGAACTGAAGGGCCAAGTCATCTTTTCAATAAGGTGAAGGGTTTGTAACTTACTTGAACTGAAGGGCCAACCAAGTTTGTTCAAGGTGCACCTTTGTCCTTCACTTGAACTGAAGGGTCAAATGTATGAAAATCTTCAAATGACTTCTTCCTATGAACTGAAAGGCCCAGGGTACTGATATTGGACCTGTGGCATGCTGGGATAATGGGCACCAAGTTTGTTCAAATGAATTACCTTGACCTACTTTCAAGGTCACATGGGTCAAATGTATGAAAATATTCAAACAACTTCTTCCCATTAACTAAAAGACCCAGGGCACTGATATTCGACCTTTGGCATGCTAGAATAAAGTGCTACCAAGTTTGTTCAACTGCACAACCTGTAAATACTTCACAGATTGCTGAAACTTGTTCATTCATTTTTTCAATGACACACAACTTAATATCAATTAACAAACAAGTGAGCGTTGCAAGCCCATTGAGCCTCTTATTTCAAAATACAATGTTACACAATATGTTTTGATATTTTATGAGATGCTTAGGAGATAATGATGTTCACTAGAGAATGAAATCTCTAATACAAGATACAGGGACAAAATTGATGGGAAATAACAACCATTTTTCCATTACCATTTGTACAAGAGGCAAATTTTAAATCAAAATAACTGATATAGTGTGAAGGGGAGGTCACTCTAGTACAAATTACATCTAAGGTAGCATACAGCCTTAACTCAGTTTTCTAATTTTCACAGTTAGTTACGTATTAGATTTGCTGAGTGTAATCAGTTATGATATAAAAAATAATGATAACCAAGGGAACCAGTGAAGAATTAACACTGTATCACATTTATTTTTCATTCCCTAGCTGGTGCCTTAAACGATTTATCGCCAATAAAGATTTCTCCGACAAAGGAGCCTTTACCACCGTCCCCTAATAGGGAGCTGCCAAAGTCGCCATCCCCTAAAAGGGAGCTTGTCAAATCCCCAAGCTGTCAGAGTCATGCGGTCTCTGATATCAATGAGGATGACTTTGCTGCCTACCAGCGAGAGATTTCCCGTGCCCTGCTGGCCAAGAGCCCTGATGTCATCACAGCAGGAGATGCCAATGATGACGACGATGAAGATGAAAAGGTCAGTGTCAGGTCAACCTTTGTTATGGTCAAGATTTGTTGTTTTGAATTTATATCATAGCTTTACATGAACCAGATATATTATTCTAGAACATTTGTACAAATGAAAACCTACTTTTTTTTATAATTATCAAGACATGGTGTTAATCTAATAGTAAGCCCATGCCTGGCAATAAGTCCAGCCACATCATTGCTGTTCAAGAGTTTTCAGTACATGCTTTGAAAAGTCAATACTTTTACTTGGACTCTTTTCCTGTAATAAGCCCACTGCCCTCACATTGTATCAAAGGCAAGGTAGGGTCAACCTTAAAGGTAAGCTAGGGTCAACCTTATTCATGGAAATATATGCAGCTAGAGCCATATTTAGCTGTAGGACATTTTGTAAAGAATACATTGTAGGCAGAAATAAGAAAGAAGGCAATGATATTTTTTTCTTTATTTTTCGTAATGTGAATTTGTACTCATAAGTGTGAGTTCAGTTTGTAGAAATCAAATGTGGCTGTAAACCTCAGTATATCTCAGTACAATAAAATATCCTGTGTACTTATAAGTGTGAGTTAAGTTTGTAGAAATCAAATGTGGCTGTAAACCTCAGTATATCTCAGTACAATAAAATATCCTGTGTAAATGTTAGTTTGTAGAAATCAAATGTGGCTGTAAACCTCAGTATAATACATAAAATATCTGTGTATTAATATTTATAATCAAATGTGAAAAATGTAAAGATTCAGTATATCTCAATACAATAAAATATCCTGTGTAAGAATAAGTGTGACACAGATTGTAGAAATCAAATGTGGCTCACACTCAGTATGCACAAGACACATTTTATGACATATTTCATGGCATGTGGGTATTATATCTCAGTACAATAAAATATTTTAACCCTTAGTGTGAGTTAAGGTGTTTAATATGTCTGATGCAGATATATTACAATAAAATATCGTCAATGTTAAGAAAAAAAAGAAATACATGTAGTCATGCACCATTAATATTTATAATTTGAAAAATGACAAGATTTTGTATAGATGTTAAGAATAAGGACACAGATTGTCTACAGAATTGTCACACTTGATGCACAAGACACATTTTATGACATATTTCATGGCAGGTATTTTTGTACATTAAGGAGTTTTAACCCTTAGTTGGAGAAAGGTGTTTAATATGTCTGATGCAGATATATTACTATATTTTCAGACATGATTGCCCATAGGTGGGGATAGGGTTGGGGCATCACATGACCTCTGATTGAAGTTCACATATTGGTGGGGGGAGGAGGGGGACATCACATGACCTCTGATTGAAGTTCACATATTGGTGGGGGGAGGAGGGGGCATCACATGACCTCTGATTGAAGTTCACATATTGGTTGGGGGGGGGGGGGAGGGGGCATCACATGACCTCTGATTGAAGTTCACATATTGGTGGGGAAAGAGTTGGGGCATCACATGACCTCTGATTGTAGTTCACATATTGGTTGGGGGAGGAGGGGGCATCACATGACCTCTGATTGAAGTTCACATATTGGTGGGGGGGGGAGGGGGGGCATCACATGACCTCTGATTGAAGTTCACATATTGGTTGGGGGGGAGGGGGGCATCACATGACCTCTGATTGAAGTTCACATATTGGTGGGGGGAGGAGGGGGGCATCACATGACCTCTGATTGAAGTTCACATATTGGTGGGGGGAGGAGGGGGCATCACATGACCTCTGATTGAAATTCACATATTGGTGGGGGGAGGAGGGTGGCATCACATGACCTCTGAATGAAGTTCACATATTGGTGGGGGGAGGAGGGGGCATCACATGACCTCTGAATGAAGTTCACATATTGATGGGGGGGAGGAGGGGGCATCACATGACCTCTGATTGAAGTTCACATATTGGTTGGGGGGGGGGGAGGGGGCATCACATGACCTCTGATTGAAGTTCACATATTGGTGGGGAAAGAGTTGGGGCATCACATGACCTCTGATTGTAGTTCACATATTGGTGGGGGGGAGGAGGGGGGCATCACCTGACCTCTGACTCATGTTCACATGTTGGTAGAGGGTGGGATGGGGAAGGGGACTTAACAGGACAATGAAATAGCATTTGGTTTTTGTATTTTCACTATGGATGTGCTTATCAATAGTTCATCGCTGGATTCATAAGAAAAAACACATCAAATCACTAGAATATCTACTACATCCTCTTGCTGTATATGCCTGTCAAATCACTGGAATGTTTACCACAAATTGTTGAGAAAATATTCTTTACCATGGCCTGGCATAGGAAAAGAGGAATCTTTGTCCATTACATTGGAACAACTATAATATTGTATATCGGAAGGTCACAGTTATTCACATATCATATTTTTATTTTATTGAAACACAAAAGCCCTCTGAAATTTCATACTGGAAAAGTCTGCCTATCAAACCAATTGTAACCCTGCAGGAAATCGTTTTCACCTGATGATCATTCAGCTGTCCGCGGTCGTGTTTACCTTGAAAATCGCTCAGCCAGGACAGGAAATAACATTTTATTTGTCCGCTGTCTATTAAAAATAAATTTTGCACCACATTTTATGTATTTAGAAAAACAGACAGACACTTTATGGGAGTGCCATGCATGAAACATTGTCTGAAGTCAACTTTTTGTTGTACGCTTGTGATCTTTGTCTGGAAATATGCTCAGAGATTTGGACTTGTCAGGGATTTGATGTTGTGTTTTACATCAATATTCATGCTGAAGGGCAAGAAGGATTCTAGATTAAGTTTTTTGTAATAAAGGCATGAGATCTACAGTCTCAGAGCCAGCTAATTCTACAAATTCGCACAAAATTGTTTTGATGGAATAGTTATGATATTTACAAAAACTGAATTTGCTGAAATTTGGTATGCTGGTCAAAAGGGTAACAAGTGCAATGTTTTCTGTCTGTTTGTGTGTAGGTCCATCCTTAAATTATTTGACAGTCCAGCTATTTAAACTGTAAAGCTCATGCATTCCTTTTTCTTCTGTCTGTGTCTCTTGCCTGTCATCCCTAAAAAAGTGTTGCCATGTTGTCTATCACATCCAACCATCATATCCTGGCCCGATGTCAGGGCCCTAGGGATGTCAGGGCCCTAGCGATGTCGGCGCCCTAGCGATGTCGGCGCCCTAGCAATGTCGGCACCCTAGCGATGTCAGCGCCCTAGCGATGTCATCCTAGCGATGTCGGCGCCCTAGCGATGTCTGCGCCCTAGCGATGGCGTCCTAGCGATGTCGGCGCCCTAGCGATGTCGGCGCCCTAGCGATGTCTGCGCACAAGCGATGGCGTCCTAGCGATGTCGGCGTCCTAGCGATGTCGGCGCCCTAGCGATGTCGGCGCCCTAGCGATGTCGGCACCCTAGCGATGTCGGCGCCCTAGCAACTGTTTTTTCCCCAGATATTTTGATCATTATTTATCTTTGAGAAATTTGTTTTCCAAGGTTCCAAGGTCAAGGTCAACATTGCTTTTTATAGAAATTTGTCAAACAGTGACATCAGTGTGAATAGGACCATGCACATGCATGTGAATTTCAAGAATATTTTAAATATTTTGTAATGAATTAAAACTGATAAAAATTCAGGTGATCATGTTAAAAATTATAGAGATTCTGTCCGTTCTGAAACATGAATTCAAAAAAATATCTGAATCAAAAAGGGTATTTCTTAGTTATAGTTTCTCATCTTTTTTCTGGTTTTAAAAACACATGAAACACAGACTTCTATGACTGAAGAAGTAACCTTGATTTTGAAGCAGATGAAACCATTTAATCGTTATCCTTCACAGATAATTAAATGTTACATAGTCTAGCTGTGTATACTCGAATGTGTTGTTACCAAGAAATTTATACCGTAATGATAAATTGCACAAACTGGCATATGTGGCCTTTTAACAGGTAATAAACACTGAGAATATATCTCTGATGACTGGTTGGAGTTGTACTGAAAATAGCAACAAAATATACATTATAAAAATTGGATTGATTTCTCTTAAGTCCTGCTGTGATATGATCAGAACGAGTTCCTAGGGGCATTCTACGATTTCCACAAATCAAAAGTAGACATCATTGATTTATTATATAACCCAGGGTCCAGGTATAGAATCTGCCAGCTATCATCTTCCTTAGGGCAGATCATGGTTCTGAAGTGTGTTTACATCTGTAAAACTGGTCTTATGTTCAATGCACGTGCAGAGAAAAACTGATTGGCTTGTTATCAGAATTATATTCCCACAATGATAGTGTTTTTGTGTAATTTTTATTTAAACAGGATTCTGATTTTAAAGGTAGTAAGTGGTACCTTGATTTTAGTGGTATTTTGAATTTAGAGGTATCCTGATTTTGGCAGTATTCTAATTTGATAGGTATTCAGGTTTTAGTGGTATTCTGATTTTAGTGGTGTCAGATTTTAGAGGTGTTCTGATTTTAGTGGTCTTAGATTTTAGAGGTGTTCTGATTTTAGTGGTATCAGATTTTAGAGGTGATCTGATTTTAGTGGTCTTAGATTTTAGAGGTGTTCTGATTTTAGTGGTATCAGATTTTAGAGGTGTTCTGATTTTAGTGGTCTTAGATTTTAGAGGTGTTCTGATTTTAGAGGTGTTCTGATTTTAGAGGTGTTCTGATTTTAGTGGTGTTCTGATTTTAGAGGTGTTCTGATTTTAGAGGTGTTCTGATTTTAGAGGTGTTCTGATTTTAGTGGTGTTCTGATTTTAGAGGTGTTCTGATTTTAGTGGTGTTCTGATTTTAGTGAGATCAAATTTTAGAGGTGTTCTGCTTTAGTGTTATTCAGATTTTAGAGGGTTTTCATTATTCCTTATTTCAACAAAACAGCATTATATAAGTAGTTCTATAGTATATCTGTCAGAGGCTGCTCTCAATAGGACAGCATTACACAAGTGCACCTGATAGAGTACTACAGACAGGAAGTCCATTTACAAAATGTCAGCGATGAGTCACGAAACACAAAAACTTCCCCCTATTAATATCATTATCT